ACCAAGATATGCCGATTTCTAGGTTAATGCATTGCTAGAGAGCGTTATAGTTTAAACTTCAGCTATATTTGGTTGTAATTTGGATGACTTGTGATTCGGTTTTTGGGGCTGCCTCCCATGTTCGCGTTGCAAACCAGGTACAGAATATATTCACGATCATGTCTTGTCAAAATAATCACGTTTGAGGGCGTTCCTCGTGACTGTAGAACAAATCTATCCGTGGAATATTCTTAGTACAGCTATGAGGTACGTGGGACGCCAAATGGAAGACATATAATGCGCACCATAAAACTTTTCTCTGAAAATATTTGAACATGATTGACATTCTGTCGTTCAGCTTTACAACCATTGAACCTAGTTGCGGTATATTGGACGGGTTCCCAGGTTGTGGACGATGAACGACCACCAGATATCGAGATCCGCTACGACTAATAGGCAGTCGCGGACAAGTACCAGTTCATCGATTGTACAAGCCAGTCTTAAAAGGCAAATTCAAGAATCTTCGCAGTCAGTTTTTCCTCCTTATCACTAGCAGAAGCAGCGCTGTCATTGTCATGTACACGAGATAAACATTCATTCACTTGACTCATTTTAATGCACAACTTAACTTTGGACTCCGAAAGACTCACTTGAAGAGGCGGTTCAAAGCAGCATCAAACCAAATGACAAATGAAAGCCGTTAGATGATTCGGAGCGTAGTTAATGATTGCTGAATTTCAAAAACACAGTCTTTATGTGATTCTGATTCATTGTTCAGGGATGGCAATAAAATCAGGAAAAATGCTTGATCGGTTTTAGTTCTGAAGCGTTCCGGCGTTCGTAGTATAGTTCACATTAGTGTAACATATCATTTACAGTTTTCTATCCATTCATTACGGATGCCACAATATCCTCAAGCCATATCCTGCTTGTTCCTGGACGCTGTTAGCAAGGAAATTGTGAAATCACGCAGACCAGATCTGAAGGAGAATATATGGGCAGTGCTGACCAACGGTATTAAAAGTTGGCTTCTACTGGTAAATCCAGAATATCGCGTACGTTTGCTTGCAATTGAGGGCCTTGCAGTGTGCAGAAGCTCTCTTCGATAGCTTGAGGGGATAGTGCTGCTCGCCCCTCGCCAATGATACATAATCATAACCAAAATTTCACACATTCCTCTATTTCTCTGAATAAGTTGCCCTGGACAAAGGTTGGAGAAATATCGACAATTGCAGACGGAGGTTGACATTTAGTATTGACTGACGAATTGCTACTCAGAAAGAAATACTCAAGGGGAGAAAACTGGAAGAGTGTCGATTTGCGCTCATGATGCGTTCATTCATGAGGGCAAGCCGCATAATGGATCAAACATATTTGTGCTACTGTTGCGCACAGAGCCTTTTAAAGGACGCTCTCCTTCGAAACAGTGGGGTTAGGAGGCAAAAATATACCATACGTCGTTTCTTTTGCTCGCGTTCACAATATTGTGTTTTTCATAGTACTTGCCTCAAGAGGGTTGCACAATTGAGTTCCATCAACCTCATCATTTCGCTTCTCATAACTGATAGTGCTCCGTTCAGAACATTAACTGCCCATATCCTGAAATCCTTCCTTACAAATTTCGAATCTGACTGTCTTTGTTCAAGAGAACTGGCTCGGAAGACATTAGGGGCTCTTTCGACATCGGCTGATATTGCCTTGTTATAACAGACTGTTTTCAATTCATGGTTGACCTTCAGTTCATCGTAGCGACCAGCGATTATATACACCCCGCACACTGATCTAGTAATTCAGCCCTCGCCAATCTTTGCAACCAGATGCCGAGGTTGTGTTAAGCTGACGAGCGCCACTGTGAGTACATTGTGAAATTTTCGATTTTGGTCTTTCGATAAATATCAGCTGCCTGAAGGTTACTTCATCCATCGTGTTTCCTCACAACGATGTAGAATCCCGGGGCATGTTTGGAGTCAACAGCACGACCTTAATTGCTGCCCAGGGAGTAATTCGTACGAAATCACCTGACTGATGATGGAAATAAACAACTGGAATTGTCTCGATTACTGTAATACGGTAGGAAAATTGCTTCCGGAAATGAGATAAACATAACAGTTATAAATTAAGTCGAACTCCTTTATGGGTCACGAAAGCAAACTGAGGAGAACGGAAATGTTTAGAAAAGATGGTTTCAAGCTTTCATGATCAACCACACAAAGATTGTAAGTTGAGTTCAGTGGGATTCTCATGACAACGAAAGAAGAGAGGCTAAGATATCTTTTGATCCCATGTGATCAAGGCCCATTGAGTGATGTGCTTTGGCTTCAACCACAACGATGTCATCGGGCCACTGCGATGACGAGCCAACTCCGGTACAGTAGCCTGAGTTAATGTTTCATCTGATTCGTTTTTCTGTCATATTTTGTACCCCTGGAGCAAGGAAGACGTAGAGCGCGGTAGGGCAGCGACGTTTCTAATGTGAAGGAATGTACGCTTGTGATTCAGCGACCGCCAACAGGCTAGAGCCGATTTCCGGAACAGCTGAAGAATGAAAGCCCGCTTTTTAACCACCAGTGGGGGGGGAGGGAGGGAAGATTATTGCCAACTGTTCAAACGTTATAATAAACCATCAGAACCTCATTGGTCTACTGTTATTGAGTCCACGACCTCGGCTTACAAGACTATTACTATCATACCAAATGGTCAGCCACGAAGTGCGTCTGCGCACTAGTTGCGACCCAAAGTGCGTTCGTCGCTCTCCAAACCTCGTATGATCATACTGAAACACCATGCTGACCCTGTTTTTTGTAAGCCAATGCCTTGATGCCGGTTTCTCAGTAGCAAAAGAATGCCAGGTCACTTATTTGTTTATGGGAGTTTAGGGCTAAGAAAAATTTTTCTTTATGACAGGATTTGAACCTCCTGCGTTCGAAGTTAACTTTTTGCCTCCGTACCTCAAATTAATACATGCTTTCAACTAACAGCTTTCTCGTGATAACTTTCGAATTGCTTTCTACTGAACCAAAGAGTACCATCTGCTACTTTCTGGAAGGTTGGCAGTACAAGACAGTAATGAATTTGTTCAACAGATGAAATGACATTCAGCATTAAATTATTCACACCCTGCTGCCTCATCATCTCCCTGATCACTCGATGTGTAAATTTCAATCATGACTCAAGCCATCTTAATTAAGCGCTGAGCACCTCAATTTCTCGAGTTTCGTCGAACCGAGAAGAATCATGATCACGTGACAAACCGAGTTGTAAACTGAGCTTGCAGAGTTCGAGCGTCTTACCACCTTCGCGATCTTCGAAGAACTCGACGCTTGACGCGTCATCGGTCATCGTTTGACCGTCGATCACCTTCTAGAGAAGAAAACCATTAGTTTTGCATTCTCCCTATCCCTCGATGTACTTTGTGTGGAAGCAAGTGTCTTAGGTGGTTACATGCGTACCTCCATACTTTGCTTGTCAACCAGTGAAACAACGTAGTCTGCCCTAGGCGTATTTCAACGATTAAACACGATGCTTATCTCTGCCGACTGAGATGTCACAGCTGTGATGGTTTGATACGTTTTGCGACAGTTTCCGGAAGGGAGGGAAAACAGCTACTACTTGCTGGACGGCCGGCCGACAACCCGGGAGAAGGTCACCAATAACCTGAGGCAAGCACTCGATGGGTTGTGATCAAGACTTGAGTGTGGTGGTCAGAAGCGG